AATAGATTTAATTTTTTTTTCTGAGGTAGTAATATTCTTACGCTACGTTTTGTACGCGTTAATGTCATTAAATAGTAATGAAATGGATATAAGAATGGAATGATTTTAGGAATATAATGGAATGTGTATTACCATTCCAATGTTTGGCAATTAATTGGGATTGAGTGTTGGAGTGGAATGCACATTCCATTCCAACATTTGGATAAAATAATTTTTATTGGAATAGAATTAAAATTAACCAAAATAACTTTTTTATTATAGAATTTCTAGTTTCATTAACATACTCTGTTACGATGAGTACTTCTGTTAATTTTAAAATTTAAAAAATATGATTAAATGTGCAGTAAATAGTCACAAAGAATCAAAAAACAAAAAAATTCACTGATAGAATAATAAAAATCAATAATAGACAACAAATTGAAAAAGTAGAAAAATTTGTCTAATTCTTAATTCCTCTCCAACACATCAGTCGGGGCATGTGCCCCTATACTAGTAACCGATCCTTTTCAAATATCATACATAAATCTTCATTAAAAGGGAAAGATTTGTCTTTGAACTTATCTGTTCCATTGTGGCTCTACAATAAAAAAATATAAAACATTTAAACCCTTTTAGTAGTAAACAAGATAGATAAGCAACAGGACATCTGAGATGCTTGCAATTAGTAGCCAAACAAGCATATGGACATGGTTGCAGGAAAAGGCAATGCAATGCAAAACAACAAACAAGTTCTTAGTGGGAGATCAATGTCAAAATTCTAAAAAAATAAGAAATATGGAGTGAAGAGTTCTCAAGTCTTCTGTCTTCTAGTTTATTTGTCTTTTAATGTATAGATAGATATATGCCATGAAGTTTCCCTTCATATAAAAAGTATGTAGGAGCAAGAAATCAAGCCGTGATATGTGCATCCAAAAGTAGCAAATTTATTCTACGATTGAGGATAAAAGTAGCAAAAAGTTAAATCGAAAACCCATCAGGATAATTCAAATTAAAAGTAATTTAGGGATTATTCTTTCAAGTTTCTAATTTTGAGTCTCATAAAAAATGACCTAATTGATCTGCGCGTGTTCATAGGTAATTTTGTGCATTTCAAATTTAAGTTGTAGTCCCTTATCCAATCAGTAAGTTTTGAGCCAACTTTTACAAGATGGTAAAATTAGAATATAAATTAGATAAGGGACTACAACTTCAAATAAATAGATAAACCATAAGCTGAGGTAATCAATATAGGAGCAGGTTTAAATTTCACAAACAAACCTTTTGGATGTCATAAAACACAGGATCAAAAAGCAATCACAAGCAGCATCACAAATTAGGTTTAGGTCAACCCAAACCAGTTAGGAATTAGAGTAAAAAAATAGACAAAACTCAGGATCAAAAAGCAATCATGAGCAGAATCACAAATTAGGCCAATCCAAATCCGTTAGGAAATTGGAGTAAAAAGATAGACAAATACACGATCTCAATATGGATTTGATTGACTTTTACCAGCGAAAAACAAAAAATTTGATCTTACCAAGCAAACATTACAATTGTTGAATATGCACAATCAAGGGCAGATTTACTGGTGGGTTAAGGCGGGCTGAAACCCAGAGTTAAAAAAAATAAAAATTTACCACTAATTACCGGTCCACCCAAAAAAAATCTCATCCAATCCGATCCAACCCAGCCCTCCAACCCAGCCCTCTGGCAGCTGCAACGCTCCTCTCAGTTTCTTCTCTCCTCTCACAGACGGTCTCTCTCAGCCAGTCACTTCCCCAAAATCATGCCGAATACATGCCGGCAATATCGACTCTCACAGGCGGCCAGTCACTTCTCCTCTCTCTTTTCCTCCAGAATTCAGCCATGGCGACTGGCCTCTCTCACAGACACCTCCTCTGTATCCACACTCCACAGCATAGCCATAACGATAGTTGTTTTTGCGCTTCAACCAACCTGTTTCATAAACCTCAAATACTCGTAGAAATCCCTAATTTTTCAGCTCATCTTCGGACAGTCCCTAAATCATTACCTATTTACCTCGAAAAAACCTTGGTACTCCACTTGAAACCCCAACCCCCCAATCCAAGCCTCTTATATCTAATAATCGGCTGAAGAGTCCGGACCCAAACCCGCATTCCAACTGATCTTTCTTCAATTCGTTCTTGTTGGAAGTGAACGCGGTGCAGATACTACTGACAACGATAAGCAGACAAGGTACAGATCTTTTCATTTGCTTCCCCCAAGGTTTTCTTGAGGAAAACTCTCTCATATAGTCTTAGTATAAGATTTTCTAAAACCAGATTGATCAGGATGATTTCCAAAGATCAAATTGAGTAAGCAGTTGACATGTTGGGAAGTTGGATCTGGGCCATCTGGCCTTGATAATTTGGAATAGAATTTGGCCAAAAATTTGAGTGAATCTCGCTTGTCGCTATGCTTTCATCCCTTTATGGGATCGAGAACTAGACACTTTTTTTGGCAAATCTGGTGGCTCGTATATATGAAAACAATAAAAGAAGCATCGAGTACCTGATTTTAAGATGTATTGTGTGATTTTCAGCCTCGTTTTACTGTCGAACTATCAAAAGGATGAGCTCTAGTCGTGATTTGAAGAAATATGGGGAATAACACTAAAAAATTGGGATTGAACTCAAGTTTTGTAATTCTATCTTACTCAATCTCATTAAATTTTAATTTGGTTTGTTTAAACAGCACTGAAGCTTGATTTGGATGGGATTGTTGTCATCGGTGGTGACTTGAAATGCAAAGAAATTCCTACAAGTTTCGGATTTGATACTGCATGCAAGGTAATTACTATTTTTGTTTTATTTTTTATTTTTGTCTTTGGCTTGCCTTTCCATGCATTAATATTGTGGTTTGCTTGATTGATTTTTATAATGAACTTTTTCCCCAATATTAAATGATATGTTTTAAATTTTGCTTGTTCTATATGCCGAAACCGCGAACATTTTGATCAAAAATGGGTCCTTCAATCTTAAGCCCGGGATAAACAAAAATTCTGGCTCCGCCCTTGTGCACAATGCTTAATATGGCATCACATGTTCTTGAGAGTATGCAAAACCTATATGAATGAATGCGAATAACCTGAGCAATGTCATTAAGGGCAACCCATGAGCTTACCAAGAACACCAAGCCAGACAGAAATATTTGGCAGCTTCCTAGCTAATGACAAAAAACACAAATTGATATGATTTTTTTAGCAGCAAAAGAGGGATTCAACTGAGTGTTAACCTTCCGGGGAAAAAAAACCGAGTGTTAACAGTGAAGCCACCCACTAATTTGAATTTCATAAGTGTTATTCATATTATCACGTATTCACTCCTTTTTTTTTTTTCTCTCATTTCTAATGGTACTTTTAGCATATAGTTGACAGACAAACTAAATTGGCACAGAGAAACAAACATTCTACAAAAGAAAAAATACGTAAAAATAAAGGAGAACCAATGTATCAATCCCAACTTAGTTTAAATCTAACAATACATTGTATTCTCCCAACATTGTCTTCCTTTGATAATCATGTGTTCAGGAAATGAGAAAAGAAAGAAAATATGTTAACCCTTACAAAACTCTAAAACGGATATGAGATTGTTGACGAAATTGATTGAGGTATTACCTAAGATTGGTGGCAAGGTCAGATCTTGTATGGTCATAGATGTAGTCCAGATCATTGTTATGATCCCGTGCATTACGCGAAGATGAGGAGGCAGAGAATAGAGGTACTGCCATGGTTCCTGGTAAGGGAGGAGTAGTCATTGGGGTGATGTGTGTGTGAGAGAGAGAGAGAGAGAGAGAGAGAGAGAGAGAGACGATTGGTAGGGAAGAACACGAAGAGTGAGAGTAGAATAGAGAAACGGAGAAGGGTAAGAGATCAGGACCATCGGGATTTTTGGTTAGATCAATTGGGGTTCATTACCAGTGATTTGGGAATGGACAATACCACATTTAATTTGGTAATCACTAATCCTATGCTTTGTGGTATTAGTTATTCCTAAGGAGTGATTAGGAATGAATTTTCATTATCACAAACCAAACAATGTAATGACCATTCCCCATAAAATTTATTAAATATTCAAGTATTCTGATTGTGCTACGTCACATGGTATAAGAGATGTGGTAAGCAAAAGTAATATATACATCATTATTCTTTCAACATTCACCTACTCGGAAACACTATCCGAGTCGAAAATCCCTGTATTAGGATCAAGTTGGTCAGGTGCTATGGACTCGAATGAAAAAGACGACTATGGAATTATGGATAAGAACGACATCACAACAGGTGCTGAAAATAATCAAAATAATAGTCATTTAAAAATTCTTTAAACGTCCACCATCCTCACTAATCTCCCCAGAATAATACAAGGCATCACATAAAAAAAAAAAAAAAAAATTAAAGTTGACATGATCCTTTCTTCTACCTCGTCGATCTAACTATTCTCACTCCGGTTGGGCTTTGCAGACACATATACGACCTGATAAAAAAACAACATATCATAATTGTTGGCTTGGCACAACAATTAATTACTCACACCACCAAATCTGTAGAAGCATCAAAACCATAGCGTTCTTTTATCTACGGATAATTCCTGTGAATTCTCAGTAAATTTGATTTTGGATGAGGCGTGTGCACATGATCAAGATTAAAAGAGTACCTGATTATCTTCGAGACTTGGAATCCAATCGTTTCTTGCTGGGTTGGTTTTGAATACCATTGTTCTGTATCCTCCATTAATGTTTTCTTCACCTCTTGGCAACTGAAGATCAAATTCATCTTCACCCTTTTTACTCACTACCTTTATAAACCCACTTCCAGTCTGTTCAATGTGAAAAAGAAAAAAAATATCATTCTCCTATCAACAATATCATTTATACATAACTTACAAATCAAATCCATCGTTACGATATCATAAAATTGACTACGGATCTTAATAAATAGTGAGATCAATTGTCAATTCAATGATCGGATCTTAATAAATAGTGAGATCAAATGTCAATTCAATGATCGATCGAACATGATTAACTAAATTAATAAATTATGTCAGACAATTACGTCTTTTCGGTTTCACCGGACTAAACATGCTAAATATACAAATCTTGAACAACTAAAAAGAAAGAGGAAAATAAGTATTGGACCGCGTAGTGTTGTTTGTCAATAGAATCCAACTCTGTGTAGTACCGTGTCTCCACAAATTCTTCTTGTTCCAGGGTATTTGGATCAGTGAACATAACCTGAATGAATTTATCATACCACAAACGATTAGAGAAAGATAATATAATACCACATCACAGCCGCCAAAAAAGTGGTGAAAAACAGAGGGGTCTAAGAGTAAAAAAGAGAAGATGATAGGCAAGAAATGTACCTGAGATTGAGATTGAAGAGATTGAAACTTTTGGAATTCGGGAACAGAAAAGTTTTCGGTGCAAATAGAGCTTTCTGGGGTAGAATCGGACTCGCTTCGGTTGGGCTTTGTGGTTCGTTTTGGGGCTACAGAATCGAAATGCGCTCTGACTTGATTGCTAATTTGCAGCTGCTGATCGGCGTCTAAAACCTCATCGCTCCGGCTGGGTTTGATCATCGTCCGGTGACCCACCATGATAATGATGATGAGAATGAGATTTTCAGGAGCTCAGACCTACACGAGAGATTGGGTGAGTTTCTGAATTTATGTTCTATGTTTTATAGAAGTGAATAATGAGAGATGTTGAACTTTCGAGGGAGCAATAACATGAAAACCTGGGGCGTCGTGAAAACCGCTTAAGGCTAGTCGCAAAGTTATAATATATTTCTACTAGCGTTCGGGACCCGAGCATATATTTTGTTATTTTTTAATTTATTTTTTCTTCTTTCACCTTGTAACTAATAGGTAAATAAAAGAATAATGTTAAATTATTAAATGATAAAAATATTTTTTTTAAAAATTAGTAAATAGTTAGTAGGAGTTGAGAGTAATTATAAACAAAGCATATTGTATAATTTGATAGTAGAAAATCTTAGTATGATAATTAAAAAAAAATAAAACTCTAGGAGATTATGAAATTTGGAAGCAAGACTTCTCAAATATTCTCTCCTCTAATTTGTTTGTTGTGTATATATAGATTAGCAATGAATATGTGTCTAAAAGTACAATATAATAAAATAAAAAATAAAAAATTAATCCCTAAATTTTGTTCCAATCTATAAAGTAATGTAAATAAAAAGTATTTTATGTAATTAAAATTTACTCTGTTTATAACACATGCAAACTTTGAGTCAAGAATCAAAAAAATAAAAAGGGGATAAGAAAGAGAGAAAAGAGAATAAGGGTATATTATTCGAGTTATCTAACATTGGGAATCATGAAAATGATATTTTTTGAGCGAGAAAAAAAAATTTTGAATGAATTTTCTATCATTTAATCAAAATAGATAACAATTAGATCAATTTTAACTTGTTATTTTATATTTATAAATTGAGAATATTAATATTATTAGATGTGTCTTTTTTTTTTTTTTGGACTTAGAGAGACATGCCCATGGGATTGCGAGTCCATCAACGTGAGCCCAACATATATCCAAAATTCGAAAAAAGCCTATAGGGTTTCGCCAGTACATCAACATAAGTCCAACGAACATATCTCAAATATAAATCCATGTTAAAAGAGGTGGGGGTATGTTTTTTAAAATTTATTTGAGAGAAAGTTTAATGATAAGATTTTTATTCTATTAAGTTTATTTATACATAATTTTTTTGTTATTACGTACACAATTCAGTTTATTTTTTTCTGTATTACTTAATTATTACACCTTAAATAATATATAACTGATTGACAGTTTATTTCTTTTCAAATATTTAAAAATTTGATTTGATTTTATCATTCGTTTAAATTTTGAACATTTATTCTTATTTTTTTATTGTCTCTATCTGTTTTCTCTCACCATTACTCTCTCCTATTAATAATTTATTATATTTTTAAATTTGTACAGATTTAATTTAATATTTTTTCATTTGTTTGAATTTTAAACTTTTATTCTTAAATCAATTTACAATATATTATTAACCGTTGCCTTCAAACGTTGTTATTTTCATATATTTTTTACTTGTGAATTTTTTGATTCAATTTCAAACCAATTGAAAGTATTACGATACGATTCTAAATTTGACTTTCTAATTAAGATTGTGTCACATCAAATAGTGTAAAACAAATGGTGCGCAAAAGTAATATCTACAACATTATTCTTTCAACACTCGCATATTAAATTATACAAGTAGTAAGCACAGTTTTAATCATTCTTCAGGTGTCACCTTGTCGTCCCTATCAAGAGCTTACGGGTTGGCCCTAATCGTCATTTGGTCACCCCCAAATCCAGTGGTTCATGACCTACAAGCCCAACTTAGCCGTCGCAATGCTTCGTCCTATCTTCCACCATATTGGCACAAAAAATGCCCAATAGTAGTATATGACTAGTGGGACACCACATCATAATTGGCACAAAACTGGCCCCATATCTCACCAGTATTAGATTAGAACCGATAATGCTGACTCAACACCATGTGATAACTTTTTGACTTTAATACCACTCTTGAAAGAAAAAAAAGATTCTTCACAACCAGGTCCATTATCTATTTTATTTTTTAGGGTTAATTGCAAGTTTTACCCCAAAAGATAGTGTGAATCATAATTTATGTCCCCAAAGATAAAAAATTTTAATTTGTACCCTCAAAGATAGAAATTTGTATTAATGTGCACTTTCAAAGATAAAAAATCTGAATTTACACCCTTAAAGATAAAAATTTGTATCAATGTGCATCTAAAACTAATTTCATAAATTATACCTAAATTTCTTCATGCTTGTCATTTAATCATTTGGACCCCTTCATGTTTAGAATATTACTCTCACATCTCATGGCATTTGTGCATGTGTAATACGTAACTTTTTTTCGTTGATATATGTTAATATAACTGTTAAAAAATATAATTTTATCCTAATAAAAATTATAATTTTATATTACCTTTTATTTTATGGGTCTGATATATTCTAAAGTTCAAAATCAAGCTTACCATTTTAATATCCAATAGAATGTAGATATTTATATAATATTTTTTATATTCAATGCAATATATCACTCAATGTGTAATCATTTATTCTATTAGACATTCAAATGGTAAATTTGATTTTGAATTTTAGAATATATTAGACCCGTAAAATAAAGGGTAATATGAAATTATAATTTTTTATTAGGACAAAATTAAAATTTTTAATAGTTATATTAACAGGTATCAACGAAAAAGGGTTACATGTTACGCGTGCATAAACATCATGAGATGTAGGAGTAATATTTTAAATGTGAAGAAGTCTAAATGATTAAGTGACAAGTATAAGAGATCTAGGTATAATTTATCAAGTTAGTTTTAGGTGCATATTAATACAAATTTTTATCTTTGAGAGTGTAAATTGAGATTTTTTATCTTTGGGAGTGCAAATTGATACAATTTTTTATCTTTGAGAGTGTAAATTGATACAAATTTTTATTTTTGAGGGTGCAAATTAAAATTTTTGATCTTTGAAGGTGTAATTTACAATTAACCATATTTTAAATAACACAAATTCTAAATCTACCCTACCATAAAATGTCAGCATTTATGAATTTTTTTAAAATATTTAATTTATTCTTAACGAAATAAAGAAATATTATAATTTTACTGAAACATTAAATAGCATTTATATATTCAATACACCATCTACGGTAAATGTTTCACAGACATGTCAGTTGTATTCTTGTCAAAAAACTCCTAATATTTGAATGGATTCAAATCCTTACTAGTACACTTTCTCTTTAAATTTCTTCTTAATGCATTATCTACCATTAATGGGTGAGGAATTCACTTGTATATAATGAGTCTTACCTGAATAAATAGTGAATAATGTACCAAAAAAATATTCAAAAAATAGGGAAGATCTCACTCCCACTAGAATTCATTTGCACCATTTGTTTGGAAATGCTCTCATTCCTTTAAGCCAAAGGCACTTTCCATTTGTTTGGAAGTGCTCTCATTCTTTTAAGCCAAAGGCACTTTTATGGAGGAGTTTAAGCGCCATGCTTCTCTTCTGAGAGTAAATTGGGATTGCGGTAAACTTTTTCTACGTGTGTGTGTGTATATATATATATATACACACACACACATTAGTGATAACCCATACCTGAAGACATGGTTCAACATAAGTGAGAAATAATGGATTTAAAATAGAAAAAAATTGAATATGAATGGTTTTAATAGGAATGTTAATATCCGTTGACATCTATTTAAAACTGTCAGATAAACTTATTGAAATTTACCTTATTTTATATTATAGAATTATATTCACATAATTTTGTCATGAGTTGTTTGTTCATTGGTCCAAATATGTTCACTTTGGTTCGTTGATGCTATACTGGTTACAATGGCCCGCTCACTATCAATAAGGTGTGGGCTTCTTTTGGTATCTAATGGAAAGAAAAAGAAAAGTAAGATTTTGTGTCTTCACTGGTGCTTGAAATGGAAGATTTTGTGGTCATTTTCCATGAACAAGCAATCACCTTTCACTTATTGAAATTGTGATAAAGAATCCATGTTTATAATTTATCCAATGGTTAATTGACTTTTAGTCAACGATTCTTGTTCATGTTCATAATTTATCACTTTTATTGCATTGATTCGTGTTCATGTTCGTCATTCATGGTTCATACTTTTATCCAACAGTGAAGTTCTTTATTTATTTTTAAGCTTGAAAAACTCTCAAACGAACTAGATGAATTCATGCCTAATTGTGTGTTTAGGATATATAAGATTGTCAACCCTCAGAAACTAGTAGTAGAATTCTCACAATTAGTTTTAGAAATGCTAGCACAGGACCAAACTCAAACATGCCCACCACCTATTGAAGTTAGCATTATCATTCTAAGCAAGCGAATTGTATCAACCTATCAATGTTAACCAAATTCTGAGTAACAATCTTGGTTTGTGTCACTTACGTCTATTTGTACCTCCCACATAAACCAGTCAATCATGGCCCACCCTATTGTAAGGCTATCAAAACTTAGACTTGAGGTCTCACTTTTTTAGTTAGACTTATTTTTTATAATTATAACTACTGGCCTAAATAAAAAATTTTATTTTATAAAAATTAAGCCCCACAATAAAATTAAATTTTAATTTTAATTTTAATTGAATCGTTTAGACTTATTTCTCCAGCCCATGACACCAAAAATATTATAAAAAATTAAAAAACAAAACTAACACCAAAAATATCATAAAAAATTTAAAAACAAAACTAACAGTAAAAATTGAGGTTATGCTTGGTTATCATTTTGGAAACAGTTTTTTGTTCTTAAAATTTCAAGAACATCCAAAATCTGTTTGTTTAACATTTTTGTTCTCTAAATTTTGGAAAAAAAATAAGATTTGAGTCAGAGAAACAGAAAACAAGTGTAGTTTGTTTTCAGAGTTTTTTTTGAAAATTTTGGAAATAAGGAGAATAATATATATATACTTATTTATTTATATATTTATATATATATAAGATATATATATATATATATTTTGTTTATTTAGTTATATATATATTTATTTATTTATACATGTATATATAAAAACGTATATACGTATATATATTGTGTGTGTTAAAATTTGGTTTATTAAATTTTTTTTATGAATTTGTCAATTTAAAAATAACTTTTTTATATTTTTTTATTATTATTTGAATTACTGCTCAAATATA